TTCCTTGAAATATACAGGTCACCCTGTATGGTGACCTCTGTCAAGAGAGAGACAGGGGAAACATGTCCCTCTTAATTATCCTCAGTCCCTCAGTGGCTTTTGATACCATCAACCGTGGCATCTTCCTGGAGCGCCTGTCCCAGTTAGGGGTGGGTGGCCCCCTTTGCGCTGGTCCTGGTCCTACTGGGATGAGGTTTCCCAGAGGGTGTTGCTTGGGGAATGCTTGTCAGCACTGTGGAGCTTTCAACGAGGGGTTGTTCAACATCTATATGAAACCTCGTGAAGAGGAGGAATACCCCCGTCCTCAACTCTTTATTGAGACAAGACGGAGGCCCTGTTAGTGGGTGGTACCCTAGACCGGATATAGTTTGCTATAGAGTGTTGTATAGTTTGCTATGCAAAATACGTTCTGAAGGTCGACATCCATATCAATGACCAAAGTGACAACTGAGGAAGAAAACATGTGAGCCAATAGGCTTCCTTTTGATTAAGGAAAGAAAAAAGCTGAGCAATGTTAGAAAGTTAATCCAATAAGAATAATGGATCTTACTCTATTTGCCCTGCTAACAATGTTGCCGTTTCTGCTGTCTCCTGGTCTCCTGGATCTGCCAGAAGAAAAGACACAGTAGCAGCAAGGCTGGAGGGACCTGGCAAAGAGGAGGAATACGCCCCCCCCCCCTCAACTCTTTATTGAGCATAAGGGGCTTTATCTGCAGCCTCCCCCCCCTCCCCCAGGGGGCAGAGCCCTGGCCCCCTGCCCCCCCCGATTTGGGCCCCCCGCAGGATCTGACCACCCCCCCGCCCCCTCCCCTGCACCCCGACCCCCCTTCTCCCCACGGCGAGACTCACCCCAGAGAGGGAGACCCTCCGCGGGCAGAAGGGGGCTGGCGAGGGAGGGGCCTGGGCAGGGAGGACCTCGCCCCCCCAAGACGCCACTTCCGGTCCTCTCTAGGAATCCAGCTCTGCTGCTTTTAACCCTTGGCGAGCCGAGCGGAACCTCCTCCTCCGAGGCAGGAACCACGTGCATCGCCCCCCCCCCCGAGATGCTTCATTTGGGAGACCCCCCCCCAAGAATGAGGGGATCCCTCACTAGAAGCAGAGCATGGGAGAGTCTGGAAGGGAGCCTGAGGGGCATCCAGTCCACCCCCTGCCAGGCAGGAAGCTCAGCTCCAGCATCCCTGACGGAGGGAACCCCCCCCCCTCTGCAGAAACCCCCCTCCCCCCTCTACCCCCCGCTCCCCCCCCCATGTCCTGGTTGTTGTCTTCCAGGTCGCCTTGGGTCCAGAGAGGAGAGGGGAGGGAGAGGGGGCCCCGTCCTCCAGAGCAAGAGACCCCCCCCTCCCCAGTCCCGGCTGCCCCTCTCCTGCGCCAGAGCCAGAGCTGTCAACGTTTCCCTTTTTCCAAGGGAAATTCCCTTATTCCGAATAGGATTCCTCGCAAGACAAGGGAAAAGTTGACAGCTATGGCCGGAGCTGCCTGGTTCTCCCCTCCTGGCAACCTCCTCTCTCACGCCCCATGGGGTGCATTGGGAGAAGGGAGAATCTCAGGGCTGCCTGCGGTGACCCCCAAGTCAGGGAGCAGAGGGTCCTGCCCCCTTCCTCTCGGCCAAGCCAGGGAGGGGGACGAGTTTGCAGGAGCTCTGCTCATCATTTGCGTCGGTAACCTGAGGTACCACTGTATTCCAAAAAGAAAGGAAAGAGACAACACACACACACACACACACACACACACACACACACAGCCGCCACCTGCGCTGCATCTGCAAAGCTGTATCAGGCCATTTTAAAAAGTCCTGGCTTTCTCCAAATAATTCTGGGAACTGTAGTCTGTTCAGGGTGCTGAGCGTTGCTAGGAGACACCCCCACCTCCCTTTCCAGTCACAAAGCTGCACTTCCAGGAGTGCTTTGCCAATCTTGCCAGGGAACTTTGGGAATTGTAGTTTGTGCTGTGGGCGCTGGTGGGAGAGGGTCTTCTAACCACTCTCAACACTTGGCGGGGGAAAGAGTCTGCCTCTTCTCGCTCCCCAGGCTGGTTTCTTTTCCAGCCAGATGGACAGGATATTATTATTATTATTATTATTATTATTATTATTATTCCTTCAGGGCGTCTCCTGCCTTGCCTTCCATTGCTGGTGATATCTGCAGGGTTTCACCACTATGTTTTCTGTTCGGTTTTCTGTTTTTGGTCTCAGAAGACCCTCTGAACACCCGAGGGCTTGGAGGTCTGAAGGGGCCCGCGTGTCTCAGTGTGACCTTACTGCTTTTGTTTGTTATTGTAATGAAATAAAATATTTAAGGTCTTACATATATATAATAAATGTTCATAAATGTACCAACCAAGCGCATACATAGATGTGTGGACCACATGTCTGGAGCAGCACAGGAGGACCACCCTGGAACCATTTTGACTCCCAAACTGACCTCAAATTTTCCCTGCAAGGCCAAAGGAAAATGGAAAAGCCTCCCCATTGTCTTTTCCTTCACAAATCCTGTCTTAAGGGTATGTCTGTGTGTGAATAGGGTGAGCCTGTGATCTGGCTCAGGAACTAAGTATGTGTCATTACAAAAGACTGGCCAGGCTCCCCAGGGTATCCAATCAAGTGAGCATTAATAGGTAACCTGCCAGACAGGAGATAAACAACGCACTTAGATTTCTGTTGTAGACTGCCGTTTCTGTGATGTAGGTATGATGTATCTGGGGGTGGTCTTGGACTCCAGGGTGGGCAATTTAAAATGTCTATATAAGGGTGGGCACACCTGGGTTCTGGGTCCTCCTCCTTCTCCTGCGTGTGAGGGGAGCACCCTGTTGCAACAGTTCAATAAAGATCAGGCTTACGAGCTGCTTTGCTTCTCAATAGTCTCTGGTTTGTTAACGGAGAAATCCGAGGGCTCTCTTGGATAAAAAGCAAGGACACCAACCAGGAAAACAGGAGCAAAACAGCAGCCAGTAGGCCTGGTCTTGATTGAAGACTGTCGGGACAGGACTCCCACCTGCCACCAGGTGGAACAAGATGGAAGCCCCGAACAAAAGAGCCCCCAAACTTTTATTAGCTGCTAATCCCCATGTTACACCCCCCCAAGTACATCATGGTTACACCATGAAAGGGGAGGTCTGGTGGCAGTAATCTGAGCATCCTGGACCCTGCCCCATGGTTCCCCTTGCCCTCCACCAAACACCCATCAAGTGGAACAAAAAGATATGTACATTTCCCTGTTTCCCAGCCAAGTTAATCCCACCCTTTGGTCTTCATCTGGGTTTGTTATTTCTGGAATGGCTACCTGTCTGGCACTCAGGTATCAGGATGCCAGGGATCATCACTCGGGCAGAGGGGCTGCTGAGGAGCTGAGCTCACATGTCTATAGGAATTTCCTGGAGACATCTTAGGTCTCAGATCCCTGGCACCAGCTGGACTGGGTTGTCACCAGGCGATTGCACTGAATTGTGCAAAGGCCACACGGAGCTACCACAGCACTGACTGTGACATGGTCACTCCCTGAAGGCGAGCAAAGAGGACCTGTAGCCAATCTAAGCTTCTGCACTTTGTTAGGAAGAACCAGCTGCACCAAGATAAGATGAGGGACACTGGTTTGCTGGTAGGGAAACGGATCTAGGGATCTTGGTGGACCACAAGCTTAACATGATCAACCAGAGAGTGATGCAGCAGCAAAAAATGCTTATGCTATTTCAGGCTGCAACAACAAAAGTGTCCAGATCAATGGAAGACAATAACACAATGAAATTCAAAACAGTAACAATTTCTTGAGCATTAAAAAATATTTATTTTTATTCCATTCTCTTCCAGTTCTTTTTCTTCTTGACACGCGGAGTTACACAGGGAGTAGATCATATATCCTAAGGAACGGAAAAACCCAAAATTCCATGAGATCTTTGGAGGCAAAATAATGTTAACAATTTTCAGATCGCTCTCTCTCTGTCCCCTGCCCTGCCCTGTCTTTTGCCAAAACAGAGGGGTCAACCCTGTGCCCAGAGCCGCCCCCCCCCCCTCGGCCTCCCTGAGGTGGTCCAGAGGAAAGAAGAGCAAGGCACACGGCACCAGCTGGGCTGCAGGAGCTGCCAGAAGGAGGCCTACAAAATGCCACCCCACCATCTTAGGGACTCCGCTCTGCATCTGTGTAGGGTTTACTCTGGAGCCTATTCTTCTCCCGAAGCCACCCCACGAGGCAGTGGAGGTTTAGAATCAGAGTTCTCCTCAATGGGCTCCCTTACGGGGGATAAGCCCCATTGGCCCCTCGCTTCCCTCTACGGCACGTGCACAAACAGCTTCCTCTGGATCTCGTCTGCTCCATCTGCCGGAGCCTGTCTTCTGACACAGGGGAAAGTCCCTCACTCACCGAGGGTTTGAGACCTATTGGCTCCCCTCCCCTGGTTCCCCGGCCTCTTCTCCCTCTGACTGCTCCTCCTTGTCCCCCCTCCACTCCCTGGGCTCTGAGACGTCTTCCCTTCCTGGTTCCTGCTTCCTCCCACCATTCCTCTGTGCCCAACCAGTCCATGACACCGTTCCACCCCTTGGCCTCTGTCCCCACAAGGCAGCTTCCCCCTACCTGATCTGGTCCCACAGCCACTGCTTCCCTTCTGCTGTCATAAAAAGATGGAGAAGGCGGTCTTGCTGGCATCATTCTGTCACCTGCAAGAGAAAAAAGGTAAGCAGGGCGCCAGGAGTGCCTGCTTCTCTCACAGATGAAACAGGGCATCTCTAACTACCGATGGGCTTTTGAGAAAGTCTTACCTGCTGAGTGCACAGAAGAGCACAGAAGCAGCGCCTGGAAGGACGGGTCTCCCTCTGTCTTGGGCCCAATCCCTTGTTCCAGAGGACTTCCCTGGGCCCTGCAGCCTCCTGGGCAGAGGTGGAAGGGCAGCAGCAGCAGGAAAGGGGGCAGGAAAAGCCTCTGGCCTCATCCTGGCCCCCAGGGACACACCCCACATCATCTGCGCTAAAGATCACTTGGGGATGTGATCTTGGGGGATGGAAGTAACCAAAGAAATGAATAGAAGAAGGCAAGGTACTTACTCTGAGGTTGGGGTATTTCCAGGCAACGGCCAGCATCAAGGAAATGCTGCTGGCCGCTAGTTCTTGAGCCTCCCCACTTTCCCCAGGGCGTATCCTCGGAGGTCCTGAAGGAGGAAAGAGCATCTCAGAGTCAGGGGCCAGTCTGGGCCAAAGCAGCCCCCCCACTGCCCCCACCACGGAGTCCCTGGCACTTCTGGACCCTGAGGGTTTGCCAGCTTTTGTCTTGGACCAAATTGGGGGCCAAACAGGCTCTGTGCCCCAGAAATGGGGCAGTCCATTGGGTAAGGGACGGGGGGGGGGACAACCCTAAAACCACCCCTGATGCCATCGGGACACTTACGCTGAGAAGGTGGAGGAGGGTGCCAGGGTTGGGGGCTTCCATATGGAGACTCCCCAGCAGGAGCCGGAAGTGCCTCTTCAGTTCCTGCGGGAAAAGAGAGAAGAGAGTGTGAATCCTGGGTTGGATTCTGCAAGTGTGTGACGAAGAAGAAAGAGCCTGTGAAGGGAAGTCAAAACCAAGGACATACTTCTCTCTCCTCCTCGGCCCCTTTCAGCACGGCCTCCAACGTCCTGTGCAGGATCGCACTGATCATATCGCAGCTGAATTTGGGCCTCATGGTGCTGCAGAGATGAAAGGGAGAGGGTTAGAGTCTCCCTTGCCCCTTCTCCCTCCCGCCTGCTCTTCCCCCCTGGGGTTCTGCCCCCCACCCACAACCCCATCCACGCCAAAGACCCCACTCACCTTAGCTAGAGGAGGGCCTCCAAGGCAAGGGCCAGGGTCAGGGGGCGATCCCTGAAGTGCTCCAGGGGCCCCAAGATGTCCTGGGAGAGAACAGAGGAGGAAAATCAGCTCCGACCCCAAACACCAGGCTTGGCTTTGCAGGGGAATGGCAACCCCATGGCCTAAGCCGGCAGGGTCCTCCTCTCCGCAGATGCACAGCCCCTTCCCCCCACACCCCCCATCACTCACCAGAATGGCTTGGGCCGTCCCCTGCTTGGAGCACTTCAGGGATCCGGGCCCCCTGAGCTCAGCTGCCTGGCAGCTCTGGGTGGCCCCCAGTTGGTAGCACTGTTCATCCTCCAGCAGCTGAAATGCAAAAGTCAGGCTGTCAGGCCCTCCTCGTGAGGGGAGGGCTTCTCCGCACCTGAGAGTGAAGAGTGGGGGGGCAAAGAGCCGGGGGGGGGGTAGCGGAGGGCAGGTCTGAGGGATTCAGTCCCTGCTCTTGTTTTCTCCAATACTCACCCCTGGGGCTGGGATGCGGAACTGCAGCAGAACTGCAAACAGAAGGACATGGGAACGGGTGAGTCCTCTTTTGCATCCTTGGACTAGCTGCCCCCCCCCCCGCCCATTCCTGCCCTCCTCTGTCCAAAAAAGCTTTAAGCACCTGATCCTAGAAGAGATGAGCGGAAAGAGCGACTCAGACGCTGGCAGCCCCAATTCTTGGGAGTGTTTGTGTGTGAGGAGGGGCATCTGGAGAAAACAGTGAACCACTGCCGAATTGGCAGAACAGAAATACGTATGTGGAGCCTAATTGATCCTTGCCAGCCCATCATGACCAATTCCTTCCATCTCTCTGCAGTTCAGTGACCTGAAGGGGCATCATCAGGGCCTGAAGGAGGAAGCCCAGAGCATGAAGGGCTGGCAGAGAGAGAAAGGAGGTCCCAAGTGCTCTGGGTTCAAGAGCTACAGTCCCCTCATTCATGCAGTCGAGCAGTGTATAAATTTCATGAAGCAAATGAAATGAATAGGAAGAGGGGAGAGCTTTGGGTCATTCTTAACATTGTTACCGGATTTTTTGGAAAGGGTGGCGGGGGGTTTCTCCCTCCAGCAGGCACCATACCCCCCTCCGACTGTACCCCAAATCAACACCTTCACTTCTGCAAATGTCCGCACAAAACACATCCTGACACAGTCCTTTCCCTTTTCTATTCCACAGGCTCCCATAAATAAGGGTAGAACATTTGCCCTAATGAAGGCTGAGCCTTTCGCTCGCAAGGCGCTCAACCAATCCGCTCAGACTATCCAAAGAACTGTCCAATAGCAACCACTGAGCGCCACAAAACAGTGCCCTCCAGCACAAAGCACTGAGGGCACAAGGAGAAGGGGAAAACAGAGGACAAGGTGGTTGGACAGTGTTCTCGGTGCTACCAACATGAGTTGGACCAAACTGCGGGAAGCAGTGGAAGACAGGAGTGCCTGGCATGCTCTGGTCCAGGGGTCACGAAGAGTCGGACACGACTAAACGACTAAACAACAACAACAACAGAACAAAGCACACAGGTACTGCAGCTGCCGACCAGCCGTGGCCTCTGCTCTACAAGTAGGAATTCCCACTGGGAAAAGGGGAAAGTCAGAACCAGCCAAGAAAACCATTCTTGGTCCATTGAAACTAGTCTTTTAAGTTTCAGTCTAGGCTCTTGCACTACCAACCCAGCTGTACGCTTGTGAAACATGGACCACTTATAAACGCCATCTCCAACTCCTTGAAAGTTTCCATCAACTGTGTCTCCGAATTTTTATACACATCACTTGGGAGGACAGGCAAACTAATACCAGTGTCCTGGAAGAAGCAAAGATCACCAGTGTTGAGGGGGGCCACTAGGGGCGCATTGGAAGAAGGCTGACAATAACATGTCTCCAGCCCACACGAGGTAATTAAGAGGCTGTTATGGGAGTATGCAGCCTCCCTTGTTGCCCCAAGGATATGGGGAACACTGCCCTTGCCTGCTGTGCCCATAAATCACCCCCAGATCCGAAAGAAGGGGGTGAGGGCACTAGGCAGATTGCCCTTGTATGGATGGACTCCAGTTCTCCTGGACGCTGTCCCTGTGCCACTAGCTGCAGCAATTTGTAATAATTAATTCGGAAGAAGCAAATGCACATATTTCAAGTGAAGAAGGGGAGTGAAGACTGCTAGCTGAAGGGACCTCTGTGAAAGAAGAGCGACGGAATATTTCATGGAGAAGACACATCAAAGGCTGGGTATGTCGGCAGCAGGACTGGATGGGGGGACTTTTTTTCTTTTCTTCTATGTGATTAACCAAGAACCCCTCCTCATACCTGATCCATCGGATAACTGACCTAAGCAGGATGTTTAAGGACTGTGTGGAAATGAACTTTAACCAAAAGTATGTTTTATGGAGATTGAGTAAAGAATAAGTGCTTTTGGAGTAACGAAGCAATATAAACAGTTGCCATCTTGCCAGGCTTGGTCGAAGGATTTACAACCGGGAGGAGGAATGGATTTGTTTTCGGACTGCATTCCTGGCGAACCTCCTCAGAGGTTGGGAGAAAGGCAACAGACTTGTGAAGATTAACGACGGTAAGACTGTTTTTATTTATGGAAGTGATGATATACGGAAACCATCTGAATATGGTTCTTGGATGAATAAAAATATCCACACAGGATTACAGTTTGTCTTAACCCGCTTTGGAGAGCATCAGAGGTCACAAAGAGAAAGGAAAAATGTATGAGAATAACAAGAGGAGATGTGGAAAACAATAAGAAAGGACTGGACAGTATTGTGAACATCATATGGACAGATCTGTGGACATTAAAGCAGCAGCAAGAAGATGATTGGATTTCCTTCGGAACTTGAAATATGGGTACCCCCAACAAAAATTTAAAATTTGGCTTTGTAATTTGGAATTTATGTAATTTGGTTTGATTTGATGTGATTGGTCGGTTAATAAAAATTATTTTAAAAAAAGAAAAAAGATCACCAGTGTTGAAGCAATGATTCTTCGTTGGACTGGTCATGTGGTTCGGATGCCTGATGATCGTCTTCCAATGCAACTACTCTATTCCAAACTTAAAAATGGAAGGTGTAATGCTGGTGGCCAACAAGAGGTTTAAAGACTCTCTCAAGGCCAATCTAAAAACATGTTGTATAAGAAGAAGAAGAAGAAGAGTTTGGATTTGATATCCCGCCTTTCACTCCCCTTCAGGAGTCTCAAAGCGGCTAACATTCTCCTTTCCCTTCCTCCCCCACAACAAACACTCTGTGAGGTGAGTGGGGCTGAGAGACTTCAGAGAAGTGTGACTGGCCCAAGGTCACCCAGCAGCTGCATGTGGAGGAGCGGAGACGCGAACCCGGTTACCCAGATTACGAGACTACCGCTCTTAACCACTACACCACACTGGCTCTCTAAACACCAATGGCTGGGAAGCACTGACCTGCAAGCGCTCCAGTAGGAGAACAGCCTTGACCAAAGGTGTCATGGGCTTTGAAGACACTTGAACACAGGACGCAAGGGAGAAACGAGCTAAGAGGAAGGCACACTTGGCAAACCCTCACTGTGATCAACTCCTGCCCAGAAAACTATGTCCCCACTGTGGAAGGACATGTGGATCCAGAATTGGCCTCCAGTCACTTACGGACTCACGGTTAAAACTCACTCTTCATGGAAGTCAATCTTACTCGGCTACAAGTGATAGAAGAAGAAGAAGAAGAAGAAGAAGAAGAAGAAGAAGAAGAAGAAGAAGAAGAAAAACAAGGAAAAGATGATGATATCTGGTCGTAGCACTCGCCTACTCTTGCAGCGGGAAAACCTCCAAATATTCATATAAAAGCAATCCAACACCGGATTGACACTGTTCCAATGCTGTTCTGCTCAGAAGGAAGATGGCCACCAGAGGAGGCACTTGGGACATGGCTAGGGGCAGCCATCATCCCTGAAGCATGAGACCACGTACACAGCAACCCTTCTGCCTGGGTGATAATCACTGCCCTCCTGGTCTCTGAGTGCCAGACAGGTAGCCATCTCAAGGACAAAAGTGGATCAGGGAGTGGCCGCCGGGACCACATAACACTGGTCCTGAGAGATCTGCATTGGCACCCAGTACATTTCCGAGCACAATTCAAAGTGTTGGTGCTGACCTTAAAAGCCCTAAACAGCCTCGGTCCTGTATACCTGAAGGAGCGTCTCCACCCCCATTGTTCTGCCCGGACGCTGAGGTCCAGCACCGAGGGCCTTCTGGCAGTTCCCTCATTGCAAGAAGTGAGGTTACAGGGAACCAGGCAGAGGGCCTTCTTGGTAGTGGCACCCGCCCTGTGGAACGCCCTCCCACCAGATGTGAAGGAAATAAGCAGCTATCTTCTTTTTAAAAGACATCTGAAGGCTGTCTTTTTAAAAGACATCTGAAGGGAAGTTTTTAATATGTAACGCTGTACTGTTTTTAACACTTGATTAGAAGCCGCCCAGAGTGGCTGGGGAAACTCAGCCAGATGGGCGGGGTATAAATAATAAATTATTATTATTATTATTATTCAACCTACATGGATTGGGGACTTGGCCAGGACAAGAGCGGGGACTCAACTTGGCTGGCAAACAGGAACATGTATATATTTTCCTTTGTATATATACACCTTAATAGGTGTAACGTGGAGGTCAAGGGAGGGACAGGGACAAACCTGATACTCAGGTGTCCCCCAGAAAAACTCCCAGTTTGTGACACACACCCCCGGGAGATGAAGAGAAAGGGATGCTACTTACAGCCTGCCCATGTTGTCAACGAAAAGATCCCACCCTCCTATCTAAAGTACGTAACTAACTATCTAAAATGCCCACCCAAGCCTCAATCTGACCCCAACCCCTGCCCTAAGGCTATACCTAACCCCCGCCCTAACCCTACACTCAACCCTAACTACTCTATGTAAAAAAATAAAAATATACAAAATATATATGCAGAATATGCACAGATGTGCACAAAAAACAAAAATATTAAAATAAAGAAAAAAAATAAAAGAAATAAAAGTGTTAAAAGAATAAAAGAAAATCAAAATAAATCAAATCAAATATATAAATAAAATAAAAGTAATAAATGAAATCAAAATAAGAAAACAAAAAACAACAACAAATCACTAATCCTCCGCTTACTCTCCACCAACTGCCACCACCTCCTCTCTCCTCTGACCTCTCCTCACTAACCCACATTTGCCTGCGAGTCAGTGGCTTTTAAAGGAGAAGCAAGAGATGTCACAAAGGAGGGCGGGGCCTTGTCACCGTGGCAACCCCCCCACCAGGACCTGGCCCCTCCTGAGTGGTGATGCTCCTCTGTCAGAACTCGGAGGCACCTGCTGTTCCGCCTGCAAAATGCTCTGATCCCAAACTCTCTAGCCCTACGACTGGCTCTGCCACGATAAATCCATTTGTTTCTAAGGTGCTTGGGGGTTCTCTGTTTCTACGTTTGCTGCGGGGGGGCTTAATAATATCACTACCTGTCTGCACTCTGTGAATTAAGCAGGGCATGGATTTGCAAGCATTTGTAACTTCTGCCACATAATTTCCAGGTGGAACTCAAATCGGGAGAGAAAAGGGTATATGCAGCCTGCTCTTTCCATGTGGGGGCCACATTTCATGGTGCATGCAAGTTTAATGGTGGGCCATAACATTAAAGGGACCCGGGTGGCGCTGTGGGTTAAACCACAGAGCCTAGGACTTGCCAATCAGAAGGTTGTCGGTTCGAATCCCCGCTACGGGGTGAGCTCCCTAGCAGTTTGAAAGCACGTCAAAGTGCAAGTAGAGAAATAGATACCACTCTGTCGGGAAGGTAAATGGTGTTTTGTGTTGCAGGCTGTGCCCATGGCCATGATATTTGATCCGATGGTGACTTTGGGCTGATCTAGTGCAAAAATCATGAGGATCCGTGTTTTTGAACCATGTTTTTGTGACATTTCGGTACCACAAAACAGTGGATGTGTGATTTTTTTGGTTCTGCCTACAGACAAATCCACGAGGATCCGTGTAGATCTGCCTTTTACCCAGACCCTTTTATACCCTAAACCGCCCTGTGCCCCCCCCAACCCCTCCGTCCCTCCCCGGAGACAAAGCGCCCCCCCCTCCGATGCCCTGCACCAGAAAGACCGATTGGGGGACGCCTCCTTTTGGGGGATGAGTCCAGGGGTCACTCTGCAGCCCTTGTCCCCCCAGGACCCCTCCCCGACAGGGCAAAAGATGAAGAGGGGGCTACCCAACTTGGGGGGGTCCCCCCATACAGAAGCTGAGCAGCCCCCTTCTCTCCAAAGCACCCCAAGAGAGGATCCCAGGAGGGAAACTGAGGCGGCAGGCAGAGGGGGGGGGAAAGACCCCCAGCCCCACCCCTGGCAGGAAGGGACCTGGGAGGGAGGGGCTTCTGCTCCGAAGGACCTCCCCTCCCCCTTATTTCCTGGCCTTTCTAGGAACGCAGCTCAGCGCCTTTTAACCCTTGGCGTGCCGAGCGCAGCTGAATCTGCCCTCCCTTCTCTCCGCGTTATCCCGATCTTAAGCAGGAAGAACCCGACTCAAAGATGCTTAACTTGGGGCGGGGGGGGAACCCCCTTGCCCTTCCGAGCTGCTCTGCGCCTCGGCTAGAAAAAACGAGGAGCAGGAAACCCCACCCTAGAATGAACAGCTGTTGAAAAAAGGATCTGGTCCCGTTTCTGGCCAAAGGGAGAGAATAGTTCAAAGCGCCGGCGGGGGGGAGACACCTCTCTGGGGGGCTCGCCTGGTTCCCCCTGGACGGGAGAGAGAGAGAGAAAGCGGGTGCCCTTGGTTCGCAAAGAGTTTCTGCTCTGCCAAGGATGCGCAACTCGGTGAGCCTCTTCTGTTTTCTGCCATGGGGTGCCTTGGGGAGAAGGGGGGGGGTCCCAGGACTGCAAGGAAGGATGCTGGGGGGGGCAGATTCAACTTATGCATGGGGGGCCCTCCAAGTCGATGGGCAGAGGGTGTTCAGCATAATGCTGAAATGGGAATGTTGACTTACGTTAAATTACCTTTCCTCTGGCCCAGTTGGCTCTTGGGGGATTGGGCAGGTAAGAATCTGGCCCTTAGAACAAGGAAGTGGGGACCCCACCCCACTCATCTGTCTGCAGCACTTTGGAGGTTCCTGGTCTGCCCCGCAGAGGAATCATAGAATCATAGAATCATAGAGTTGGAAGAGACCACAAGGGCCATCGAGTCCAACCCCCTGCCAAGCAGGAAACACCATCAGAGCACTCCTGACATATGGTTGTCAAGCCTCTGCTTAAAGACCTCCAAAGCAGGAGACTCCACCACACTCCTTGGCAGCAAATTCCACTGTCAAACAGCTCTTACTGTCAGGAAGTTCTTCCTAATGTTGAGGTGGAATCTTCTTTCTTGTACTTTGGATCCATTGCTCCGTGTCCGCTTCTCTGGAGCAGCAGAAAACAACCTTTCTCCCTCCTCTATGTGACATCCTTTTATATATTTGAACATGGCTATCATATCACCCCTTAACCTTCTCTTCTCCAGGCTAAACATGCCCAGCTCCCTTAGCCGTTCCTCATAAGGCATCGTTTCCAGGCCTTTGACCATTTTGGTTGCCCTCCTCTGGACACGTTCCAGTTTGTCAGTGTCCTTCTTGAATTGTGGTGCCCAGAACTGGACACAGTACTCCAGGTGAGGTCTGACCAGAGCACAATACAGTGGCACTATTACTTCCCTTGATCTAGATGCTATGCTCCTATTGATGCAGCCCAGAATTGCATTGGCTTTTTTAGCTGCCGCGTCACACTGTTGGCTCATGTCAAGTTTGTGGTCAACCAAGACTCCTAGATCCTTTTCACATGTACTGCTCTCAAGCCAGGTGTCCCCCATCTTGTATTTGTGCCTCTCATTTTTTTTGCCCAAGTGCAATACTTTACATTTCTCCCTGTTAAAATTCATCTTGTTTGCTTTTGCCCAGTTCTCTAATCTGTCAAGGTCGTTTTGAAGTGTGATCCTGTCCTCTGGGGTGTTTGCCACCCCTCCCAGTTTGGTGTCATCTGCAAATTTGATCAGGATGCCCTTGAGTCCATCATCCAAGTCGTTGATCAAGATGTTGAATAAGACCGGGCCCAAGACAGAACCCTGTGGCACCCCACTAGTCACTCTTCTCCAGGATGAAGAGGAACCATTGATGAGCACCCTTTGGGTTCGGTCAGTCAGCCAGTTACAAATCCACTGAGTGGTAGCATAGTCAAGACCGCATTTTACCAGCTTCTTTACAAGAATATCATGGGGCACCTTGTCAAATGCCTTGCTGAAATCAAGGTAGGCTACATCCACTGCGTTCCCTTCATCTACCAGGCTTGTAATTCTGTCAAAAAACGAGATCAGGTTAGTCTGACATGACTTATTTTTCAGAAAACCTTAAGGTCTTTGAATAACCATAGTTTAGAGGGCCCTAAGGAAGTCAGACTATCCTCCACCAGGGCCAGGGCCTTCTCAGTGGTGGCTCCAACCTGGTAGAATGCTCTGTCCCTGCAGGATTGAACTTCCTTCCGCAGGGCCTGTAAGACGGAGCTATTCCGTCTGGCCTTCAATTTGAATTTAGCCTGATCTTTTATTCCCCTTCCTTCCCTCCCCCTCCCCTTTTTATGGAGATTGCCTGCTCTGGGATCCCGCAGCTAATTCTCCCCTGGTCTCCTCACCGGCCCAAATAGGACTAATTCAGTCAGCTAGCCCTGGTGATCATCTAATGTTTATTAGATGGAGTTTCCCCCTAAATTAATTTTTGAATAATGAATTTATTGTTATTCACGTTTTATACTGTACTTTATGCTGGTTTTTTTGTTGCATCAATTAAGTGTTTTAAATATGTTGTTAGCCGCCCTGAGCCCAGTTTTCTGAACCAGGAAGGGCGGGGTATAAATAAAAATTTATTATGCTGCAAAATGAAACCAAAGCAGGGAAGAAACAGGCAGTCCAGCCCTGATTCCTAGTAAGTCTTATCCACACATGCTCAGGTAACCTCTTTCTTCTAGTGCACGCATGTCCCAACAGGTAGATCATGATCTATTGGTAGATCACTGGAGGTCTGTGATGGATCACTGGCTCCCCACAAAGAACCTCAACAAATTTGCCTCAACAAAAATTTGCCCCAAATTTGCCCAAACAAAAAAGTGGGTTTTTAACTGTGTGTAGATCGCAGTCCCTTAGGAGTTGGCCACCCCTGCTTAGCGGTTCTTCAGTTTTATCACAGAATTATGGATTTGCTTTGTAGGATTTGTGAGCACCTCTAAATCAGACAGACAGACAGAACGTGGCAGAAGATTCCTTCTGATTCCTTCTGATCTCTTGGAGGCTTCCTGAGAGCACAGATGGATCAGCAAGACTCAACTGGTCCTGAAGCGGGAAGAGACCGTGATATGCAAACTGGGAGAAGTGGGGGATTCTGGGGAAACACCATGCAAAGGATCCTGGGTGAGGAGGACACTCTCTGCTCCGATGTGCAGAGCCAGCCGGTCAGGCAGTTCTGCTACCAGGAGAGCGAAGGACCCCGAGAGGTTTGCAGCCGACTCTACTACCTGGCCCATCAATGGCTGAAGCCAGAAAGGCACACGAAAGCTGAGATGCTGGACCTGGTGATCTTGGAGCAGTTCCTGGCTGTCCTTCCTCCGGAGATGGAGAGCTGGGTGAGGGAATGTGGAGCGGAGACCAGTTCCCAGGCGGTGGCCCTGGCCGAAGGTTTCCTCCTGAGTCAGGCAGAGGAGAGAGAGGAGGCAGAGCAGCAGGTGAGAGAGACTTTCCTCTGGAAACTCCCAAGGGGCTCCAAAGAGGAGGGAGAGTATCCCAAAATGCTCTACAAAGGGCCCCTTTTTTTGGAATGCATCCAAGGAATGAGATCTGATACCTGCCAAGTTTTTGCTTCTGTCATACTTTTTCTGATCCTTCTCCCCATTCCCTGTTTTGAATCCTTGTTGCTCTTTCAGATAAAGAATCTGTTAGCAGAAATGGACCTGGATTCCTGTGAGGCAGAGAAGACTCCGATGGACACCAGAGAGAAGCCACTGGGTATGGAGAAAGGAATTATTTCTCTCTTTGGTCACATTCTGTTGATTTTGAAAGTACCGTATTTTTCGTCCTATAGGGCTCACCGGCCCATAGGGCGCACCACGTTTTTTTGGGGGGAAATGAATAAAAAAATTTATTTCCCCCCCTCCGCCCTGGCTGCCGCCCCAAGCCTTGCGCTCACCTGCCCGAAGCACGGGGCACCCTTCGGAGGGCTCCCCGTGCTTCGGGCGACAGGCTGCCGCCCCAAGCCTCGCGCGTTTGGCGGGACCTCCTGCCGGGCGCGCAAGGCTTGCAGACACTCACCCAAAGCACGGGGAGCCCTCCGGAGGGCTCCCCGTGCTTCGGGCGACAGGCTGCCGCCCCAAGCCTCGCGCACCGGGCGGGACCTCCTGCCGGGCGCGCAAGGCTTGCGGACACTCGCGGGGGCTGCAGGCTGCTGCCCGCAAGCCTTGTGAGCCCGTGGGAACTCCCCCCGGGCTTGCAAGGCTTGTGGATAGCTTCCTGAAGCCTGGAGAGCGAGAGGGGTCGGTGCGCACCGATGCCTCTCGCTCTCCAGGCTTTAGCGAAAGCCTGCATTCGCCCCATAGGACGCACACACATTTCCCCTTCAATTTTGGAGGGGAAAAAGTTCGTCCTATGGGGCGAAAAATACGGTAATTCGTGGGTTATTTTCATCTTTTCCTAGGGGAGACACTTGGGGCCAAGAGCCCAGGGGAGGAGAGGTGTGTTTTTACACAACTAAAATAAGAAATGGGTAAAATATCAGAATGGAATAAGCAAGGGAAACTTTTGCAAAGGCCCGTCTGCAGTTAGAGATGCACTCCTGAACCTCAGAGAGAAGCAGGCATTCATGGCTTCCCATTTCCCTTTGTCTCTGGCAGGTGACAGGATGATGCCAGCAAGACCTCCTCCTCATCCGTCTTTTCATGGTGGAGAAGGGGAAGCAGCGGCTATGGAAGCAGATCAGGTAGGGGGCAGGAGACTTGTGGGGAGAGAGGTTGAGGGGTGGGGCTGGCAAGAGTGACTCCTTCCACCTCCTGCTTTCTGTCAAAGGTGCCCTGAAAAAAGGTGGCAAATGACATTATGTGCTCAGAATAAGGTCTAAACCACTGAGCCTCTTGGGTTTGCCGATCAGAAGGTTGGCAGTTCGAATCCCCGTGATGGGGTGAGCTCCCGTTGTTCGGTCCCAGCTCCTGCCAACCTAGCAGTTCGAAAGCACGTCAAAGTGCAAGTAGATAAATAGGTACCACTCTGGCGGGAACAGCGTTTCCGTGCGCTGTTCTGGATCGCCAGAAGCGGCTTATTCATCCTGGCCACATGACCTGGAAGCTGTGCACCGGCTCCCTCGGCCAGTAAAGCGAGATGAGCGCCGCAACCCCAGAGTCAGCCATGACTGGACATAATGGTCAGGGGTCCCTTTACCTTCCCTTAGAACAGCGGTTCTCAACCTGTGGGTCCCCAGATGTTGTTGGACTACAACTCCCATCATCCCTGAGCTCTGGCCTTGCTAGCTAGGGGTGATGGGAGTTGTAGTTCAACAACATCTGGGGACCCACAGGTGGAGAAAAGCTGCTCTAACGGGAAGTAAAATAACTTGGTTTAACTGTATCCAATTGGAGGAATGGACAAAGAAATTGGTAAGGGAAAATAAGGAATGTCGAGAATATACAAAATTCAAAAAGGTGATTATAAAAAAGGAAAGATGAAGAAAAATATAAATAATCACCTTTTTTATAATCACCAGTGAAATTTACAAAGTCGTGGTAGAATCAGAAGATCAGCAAGATCAACTAAAAGGGGTGTGCGAAAAGAAGTTAACAGGTCAGATAAATAGTCAGAGCTTGGGGAAAACATGGGAGAAACATCCTCTGAAAAGGATATCAATAAGAAAATAACTATACTGTAAGGTAGTATGGAGGTGGTAGTAACAGCAGTAAGACTAAATCAAATAGACAACAAACATTTGGTGTTATGTTGGAGGGGATGTCAGGAAACTGGGACATATATTCAGATGTGGTGGGGCTGTAAATTTGCACAAAATGTTTAGCAAAGGGTGTTGAAGGAGATAAGAGAAATGGCAGGGTTAAGGCTGAATGAAAGTCCAGAAATACCATTGCTATAAATCTACGATAAGGTTAAATGTATGCAAGCTATGAAGGACTTAATCACAAATTTGTTGCAAGAATTATCATAGCTAGGAAATGGAAAGAAACAAGGTGGATTTCAAATAGAAGAATGGTATAAAGAAGTGTAGGATATAGCAATTAATGGTAAATTAATGTTTGCTGTCAAAGTAAGAAGGGGAATGTGGAAGAGAATTTATTTTGAATTCAGAACCAGTGAAGGCAGTGAAGGTCCTGTGTGAGGGTCTGGAGGCAGTTGGAGGATGGATGGCAGCTAATGGATTGAGGTTGAATCCTGACAAGACAGAAGTACTGGTTTTGGGGGACGGGACGGGCAGGTGTGGAGGATTCCCTGGTCCTGAATGGGGTAACTGTGCCCCTGAAGGACCAGGTGCGCAGCCTGGGAGTCATTCTGGACTCACAGCTGTCCATGGAGGCGCAGGTTAATTCTGTGTCCAGGGCAGCTGTCTACCAGCTCCATCTGGTACGCAGGATGAGACCCTCCCTGCCCGCAGACTGTCTGGCCAGAGTGGTGCATGCTCTAGTTATCTCCCACTTGGACTACTGCAATGCGCTTCATGTGGGGCTACCTTAGAAGATGACCCGGAAACTACAACAAATCCAGAATGCGGCAGCTAGACTGGTGACTGCGAGTGGCCGCCGAGACCTACATTGACTCCCAGTATGTTTCCGGGCACAATTCAAAGTGTTGGTGCTGACCTTTAGAGCCCTAAACGGCCTCGGTCCAGTATATCTGAAGGAGCGTCTTCACCCCCATCGTTCTGCCCGGACACTGAGGTCCAGCTCCAAGGGCCTTCTGGCAGTTCCCTGACTATGAGAAGCCAAGTTACAAGAAACCAGGCAGAGGGCCTTCTCAGTAGTGGCGCCTGCCCTGTGGAACGCCCTCCCACCAGATGTCAAAGAGAAAAATAACTACCAAACTTTTAGGAGACATCTGAAGGCAGCCCTGTTCATGGAAGCTTTTAATGTTTAATAGGTTATTGTATTTTAGTGTTCTGTTGGAAGCCGCCCAGAGTGGCTGGGGAAACCCAACCAGATGGGCAGGGTAGAAATAATAAGTTGTTGCTATTATTGTTATTATTACTACTACTTTGTTAAAAAATCACTATAAATAAAAAATCACAATAAAATGCACAACAATTCCCTCTTTCTTTTAGGGTCCGGTGTGCTTTGATGATGTCACCGTTCGTTTCACAGACGAGGAATGGGCGTTGCTGGATCCTGACCAGAGAGCTCTGCATAAGGAGGTCATGGAGGGAAATTATGGGATCCTGGACTCTCTAGGTAAGGCTCCCTGCTAGATCGTAATATCTGTTTTCAAACTCCAAGCGTATCTCTATCTGATAAACCTCCAATATTTTGATGGAGCTCAACAGGACAACCTACAGCACCTGGAATTCTCACACCCCCATGGAGAGCTATTGCCTGTTTCATCTGCGAATATTGTTCCTCTAGTTACGGCTTTTTCAACCACGATCAGACTTGTCTGAACTCACCATGCCGTTTTAAATGTAGGAGTGGTTTGGGAGATCGAGGTAGCTTCTGCCAGGTGGTTTTTTTTTGTTTTTTGTTTTGCTTCTGTCCGTTTTCAAAGGAGATGACTGACCTTGGAGATGGACTGGATTCCATGAATGGGCCAAACAAAATCCATCCCAGGAAAGGACCAGGCTTTTAGAATCTCAGGTTCCCATAAGTATGTAAGTTAATACCAGTCAACAAAGGCAGTGAACTCTGTAGTAAGGTCTCACGTCTAACTCTCTTCAGCTTGTCCTCTTCCACAAGCATTCATTAGCATTGTTCTAGAATTACAGCAGGGATGTGGGTGGCGCTGTGGGTTAAACCACAGAGCCTAGGACTTGCCGATCAGAAAGTTGGCGGTTCGAATCCCCGCAATGGGGTGAGCTCCCGTTGCTCGGTCCCTGCTCCTGCCAACCTAGCAGTTCGAAAGCACGTCAAAGTGCAAGTAGATAAATAGGTACCGCTCCGGCGGGAAGGGAAACAGCGTTTCCGTTCGCTGCTCTGGTGCACCAGAAGCGGCTTAGTCATGCTGGCCACATGACCCAGAAGCTGTATGCCGGCTCCCTTGGCCAATAAAGCGAGATGAGCGCCACAACCCCAGAGTCGGCCACAACTGGACCTAATGGTCAGGGGTCCCTTTACCTTTACCTAGAATTACAGATTCCATCTCTTCCTGAGGCTCTAATTAGCTTCTTTCCTTGTTTGTAGGTAATGATGAATTAGAAATGAAGAACGAAGGAGAAATCCACACAGAGAAGCCTTATCGATATTTGGAGTGTGAAGAGAGCTCCAGTCAGAGCTCCAATTTCACTTCTCATCAAATAAATCCCATTGGGAAGAAACCCTATCAGTGCTTGGAATGTGGAACGTGTTTCAGTCAGAGGGCCCATCTCACTTCCCATCATCGAATTCACACAGGAGAGAAACCGTATCAGTGCTTAGAATGTGGAAAGAGCTTCACTCGGAACGAAAGTCTCACTTGCCATCAGAGAAGTCATACAGGTGAGAAACCCTTTCAGTGTTTGGAATGTGGGAAGAGCTTCACTCGGAAGGAAAGTCTCACTTCTCATAAGAGAATGCACAGTGGGGAAAAACCTTACCAGTGCTTGGAATGTGGAAAGAGCTTCCACGCAGGCACAAACTTCCGTCAACATCAGAGAATCCACTGTGGGGAGAAACCATTTCAATGCCAAGTGTGTGGAAAGAGCTTCATTAGGAAAAAGATCTCTCCTCCCATCAATAATTCATACAGGTGAGAAATCCTATCATTGCTTGGAGTGCGGAAGGAGCTTCACCTGGAAGAAAAGTTTCGTTTCCCATCAAAGAATTCATACTGGGGAGAAACCACACAAGTGCTTTGGATTGTGGAAAGAGCTACAGTAAGAGGGCTAATCTCATGACCCACCAGAGAATTCACAGTGGCGGAGAAACTGCACCAATGCTTAGAGTGCGGACGGAGCTTCACCTGGAAGGAAAATCTCACCTCTCATCAAATAATTCATACAGGGGAGAAACCCTTTCAGTGCCTGGACTGTGGGAAGAGCTTCAGTAAGAGAGTCAATTTAACGGCCCATCAAAAAACTCACAGCGGAGAGAAACCTCATCAGTGCTTAGAGTGCGGAAGGAGCTTCACCTGGAAGAAAAGTCTCACTTCCCACCAAAGAATTCATACAGGTGAGAAGCCCTATCAGTGCCTGGACTGTGGAAAGAGCTTCAGTCAGAGCGCCCATCTCTTGGTCCATCGGAGAATTCATTCAGGAGGAAACCCTATCAGTGCTTGGAATGCGAAAAGACCTTCAGCCAGAGCGCCCATCTCACTGCCCATCAAAGAACTCACCACAAGGTGAAGTCATAGCAATGGTTGTCTTTAGGAAACTTTAATTATCATGCAAGTGAGGCTTGCAACAGCGTTCTTGGTCTTCGGCCACCAGCAAAGAAGTTGACCGTGCCTCTCAAGACCGTTGAATGCACACTTGACATCCGATTGAGAAGCAATTCATGTACTTCCACCTCGAAAGCCACCAAGTTGCAAATTTGTGGTGCTCCTGACCACCACTGTCATCTTCAGCATAACCAGGATGATAGTGGTGTTAGCTTCAAGCTCTTCCTGGAGTCTGCTGAACACACACAGGACACTTCTTAGAAAAGCCACAAGTTTCATGCTTTCCTCTGCGAGAAGGTTTAGTCAAGAATTCCGTTGCTGGCGTCCTCTGTCTAATAATTGACAGAGGACGGCAGCAATGGAACAGCACGGCTTACTCCAGGGGTAGCATCAGACACCCTTTCCCAGGCCATGTGTACAGAGCCCCAGATCTTGACCAGAGGGACATTTTTGTCAGTGGCTCGCATATATTCCTCAAGTAGGTGACCCTGTTCTCCTTCTGTCCCAGTGTTAACAGAGAGTCTGTCACAATGGATGCGGTGTTTATGAAACTGTCCTGGACGCTTGCATGGTCTCTTGCCCAAGGCCTTGCTTCTCTCTTCACATAAGGCCTTGCGCACCACATACTGTCAGTTCTAACACTCCCAAGAAGTCTTCTCCTCCAGATTTTGAAACTTGCAACTTTTGTCTGTATAACTTTAGCCTATGTGTATCCTGCTTACCAAACTGTCACCTGCGGTCCGTCCATCCCCAGCTATTACTGAATGTGAAGGTCTGTATTGTAACTTTAGAACATGTTACAATATGCTTTGAAGGTTCTTTTATTATTATTATTAAAGATTTTCTTGATTTACAAAAGTGTTTGCAGTGTCTCTCTCTCTCTCATATTCCCCCCCCCCATGTAACATTTTTACAAATTGGTTTCGTTGAGACATTAGGAAGAAAAGGGGGAAAGAGGTGGAGGGGGGAAGATGGGTGGGGGTGGGGTCAGATGCGATGTTTCTATTTTACTTACTATATGTGGGGTTTGGTGTCAGCGTTGCTTGTGCAGCTTCTCTGCTGTTCACTTGTGTTCCTTTGGTGGTGAGAGAGGTTGGGGTTGGCCTAGGGTGTGGTGGTTCATTTGTGGTTGGCTGTGGTGGTCTTTGTTTTCATGTGTGAGTGGGGTGGGTGGGTGTTTTGGATCAGGTTAGCCATATTGATTTGTATGCTGTTGGTGGATATTTGTCATTGTCTTGTTGGGCTGTGTATGTGATAAAGAGGAACCAACCCGGGGTAAAGGCGTCTTCTTCTATTTGTCCCCGTGGCAGTTTCAGTTTATTGGTTAATTTTTCTGGTAGGGCTGTTTCCCATACTATTTGATACCATTGATCCATGCTTACTCCTGACAGGTCTCTCCAGTGTCTGGTTATGGTGTTTCTGGCTGCTGAGAGCAGGTGGGTTATGAGTTCTTTGTGGTGTAAGTGGGCATTATTGTCTTGGAAGATGTTTAGTAGGGCCAATTCTGGGGTGATTTGTAATACTTGCTTGGTTATTTTACTTATTTCTCGTATGGTTGTTGTCCAGAATAGTTGGATTTTGGGGCACTCCCACCACATGTGGAGGTATGTGCCTGTGGAGGTGCACCCTCTCCATGCTTTGAAGGTTCTGCTTACATATCCTGGGTTTGGAGCCCTCCGAGGAGCAAGTTAGAGTTCTTGTCGGAAGAGGATCCCTTCTTCACAGAAATTCCTCTCTGCCTCTTGACATCAAGCAGGAACTTTGGCTGTTCTCTTTTTGGTGCCTCCTTAAGCTGTGTTTGTTCAAGCAAAACTTTCATTTTTTTGTAATTTCCTTATTGGTTTTTTTATAATTTTATACATTTTAACATAACCATTTCAAACATTGAAATACAAGGTTCTTTTGAACCTTCGGACCTCTTTCCCTACCTCCATGGCTTCCATGTTTAAGACTAAATTTGCTGCATCTTTTACCATTATCCATCTGTTATATAACCGTAAGTATCATACGATTTTAACTCTTTAACTGGAGGATGTGGAGATGGCGAAACTGACGGGGAAGATCCGAAACCAGGAAGATCAAGTGTTTTCTAAAGAATGGAGTAAATTTGTAATTTATTCACAGGACCACTGTAAACAAGCAAGACCTTCCAGACAGAGATGTAGATACGTTTTCATCTCAACATTGCTCATTTTAACATGTTGGCGCTTTTTATTTTTATTTGCTGTGGAATTTATTTATTTTTATTTACCATTTTAACATTTCTAGTAAACCCCAGAGATGTTTTCTTACCATCAAGCGGCATGTAAATATTATTATTAAATCCCTCCCACCCCATGTATTTTTGTGGAGCCTTTTTATGTGGGACGCTTGCGATGGGGACTCCTTCCCAGCCAAAATGTGGGGGGAAATAAGGAGCTCTTGCATAGAAGCATGGAATTGAGAGTTGCAAGGGACCCCAAGGGCAATCTCGCCCAACGCCCTGCAATTCAAGAACCTCAACTTAAAGCATCCATGACAAATAATAATAACAACAATAATAATTAATTTATACCCCGCCTATGGTTTCCCCAGTCTGGGCAGCTTCCAACCGAATATTAAAAACAACACAGCGTCAGACATTAAAAACTTCCCTAAACAGGGCCGCCTTTAGTTGTCTTTTAAAAGTGAAATAGTTGCTTATTGCCTTGACATCTGCTGGGAGGGCGTTCCACAAGGCAGGCGCCACCACCGAGAAGGCCCTCTGCCTGGTTCCCTGTAACTTCACTTCTCGCAATGAGGGAACCACCAGAAGGCCCTCGGCGCTGGATCTCAGTGTCCGGGCTGAATGATGGGGGTGGAGACGCTCCTTCAGATATACTGGGATGAGGCCATTTAGGGCTTTAAAGGTCAGCACCAACACTTTGAACTGTGCTCGGTACTGGGAGCCAGTGTAGGTCTTTCAGGACCCGGTGTTATATGGTCCCGGCGGCCACTCCCAGTCACCAGTCTAGCTGCTGCATTCTGAATTAATTGTAGTTTCCGGCTCACCTTCAAAGGTAGCCCCACATAGAGTGTGTTGCAGTAGTCCAAGCAGGAGATAACCAGAGCATGCACCACTCTGGTGAGACAGTCCGCAGGCAGGGAGGGTCTCATCCTGCGTACCAGATGGAGCTGGTAGACAGCTGCCCTGGACACAGAATTGACCTGTGCCTCCATGGACAGCTGTGAGTCCAAAATGACTCCCAAGCTTTCTATCTAATTTAAACATTTCATGAAACTGAAGGTATTGTAACCAATCCATAACATGGCTCCTTACATTTTCCATTGATTTCAGTTTGGGTCTGCCACCCCCACCCCACCCCATAAAATGCAGCAATTCCCTGTATACAGTATGTACCGTATTTTTCGCCCTATAGGACGCACCGTCCCATAAGGCGCACCTAGTTTTTTTTGGGGGGGGGAATAAAGGGGGAAAAAATATTCCCCCCCAGGTGCGGGGCTGGGGCGGGGGAAGCCCGAGCTTCCCCCGACCCCAGCCCCCAGAACAGGCAACTCTCCGTAAGCCGTGGGAGCCGGGCTTGGAGCTCTATTAACATACCACAAAGGAAAGATTTGGGGACTATTTGCAGAGGAGCTTTCCGCCGTCTTAACTGTGTACCTTATCAAACAAATTGGGACTTTTCCCGATAACTGGGTGCCCTTCCAGTTTAAAAACTGTCCCTGAGTATACAACAAAACATGGGCAGCATGGGAAAGTTCCATCACCCCCTCCCTCCTTGCAGAGAAAACATTTGGTCGGTTTGGTAGTCAAAATGATTTCACGGAGTCAAAATGGTTTCAGGAAGGTCTTCCTGTGCTGCTCCAGACATTGGTACAGTGGTACATCTCGTTACGAACAGGATCCGTTCCAGAGCCCCGTTTGCATCTAGAAGCAAACGTAACTAGCGACGGCACATCTGCGCACACACGCGTCGCTTTTCGCTGCTTCTGCACATGCGCGTGATGTCATTTTGAGCGTCTGCGCATGTGCAAGCGGCGAAACCCAGAAGTAATGCGCTCCGTTACTTCTGGGTTACCGCGGAGCGCAAGTCGAACGCGCTCAACCCAAAGCGCATTCAACCCGAGGTATGACTGCACATTTGTTGTAAACAAAAATTGCCCTTTTCCCTTATGGGGTATCCAAGAGCCCATATAGAGTCCTTACATGGATTCCCTATTGGTCGAAGAAAATAACAGAGGCCAAACAGAGAATATTGAGAAGCAAAGCAGCTAGTAAGCCGAATCTTTATTGATCTGTTGCAACAGGGTCTCCACTCCCCACACGCAGGAGGGAGGAGGAGCCCAGAACAATGGCACACAAGGCCTTATATAGACATTTTAAATTCCCTGCCCTGGAGCTCAAGACCACCACCAGATACATCATGCATACATCACAGAAGGGGTGTAACCCAAGACCACCCCACCAGATACATCATACCTACATCACAGAAAAGGCGGTCTACAACAGAAATTTAAAGGTTGTTTAA